GAACGTAATCGTCCCTTTTGTCTGTCATCACTCTTGACTTCTAGGTTATATTCAACGGAAAAATGAGTCGATTGTTTTTTTCATAACGTATGTTCCTCATATTCGAATGTCAATCTGAGGAATACGGATATACTCTTGATCAATATTGAATACCTACTAAACAATTTCTTGGTTCCTTGGTGAAGTTCAACTGAAGGTTCTAATCTGCTGACTAAGTGTGTGCTAATTTTCAAATGAATGCGCTTTCATCGGATATTATGTATTCAATGTTGGAACTCGATGAAACGAGTTGAATTCGTTAACATTCTTGATAAAACAATACCAATGTACAGTTCTGGTTCATCATTGTCATCCATTCGATTGCTCAATATCCATAATCATGTCGAAAATCATCAAGTCGATAGTTTCTTATGTGCTTCCAGATGAAATTCAGTTTCGGGTGTTATTTACAGAAAACTAAATCATTATGTCACCTGTCAGTCTACTGCTAGCAAGTCATATTTATATTCAGTCAACTGCCGAAATGAAAAACCGATTACATGCAAGATGATTTCGAATCAAGTACATAAACCTGATTATGATGATAATCCATTCGATAATTCAACTCGAGCGTTGAGTATTGCTTTGGAAAATATGGAAAATGGCCAACTCGGTCGGGGCCATGTGATTTCCGATCGTCATCAATCAAAAGATTTTTTTTTCAAATTAATCGCTAGCTAGAAATAGGCTCATTTGTTCAAATCTGAAAAAGATTACCAAGAAGAGTTGTACTTGATTTTTTTTTATCTCTCCTGAAGTGACCTTGACCAAGCAGGCCATTTTCCATCATTCACAAAGCTTAACTTGACGCCTAGGTTGAAAAATTAGTACAGTGTTTTCGATCACCAACAGACATATTTCAGCCAATGAGAAACTTGTGCTTTGGAATAACTAGAATAATCGTGCACAGCCCCATTATTATACATAATAAAATACCAGTCAATCGACAAATAATTCGCAATGAATGACCCAGTTTCAGGTGAAAACTGTATACTGTTGATCGTGTTGTGTTGAATGATTATGAATTTCAGGTGAATCATTACATTTTTCTTATCGAAAGACTGTGGCTAATCAATCACGAAGAAAAAAACCACTCATTCGAGATCAGAGTTGCTTATACATCATATCCTATAATATTTATTGCTCGATTCATTGTTGCCATTTTCAAATATCTTATTTTAACATTAGCAGGAACAATATTTTTACTTCACAGTTCAATATGTCAGCCGAATTATCATTCTACATTCTCTCTTGTCAATACCTATTCCATTTCCTCTCTGATATTCTCATTCTGATGATTGAATTATTGTTGAGAACGTATCATGATAGCAAATTCAGTGATTCAGAGGGTATACACTGATTTGAATAAGTTTTGTGGCTGTTGGCCAAGCAACCCTTTCTGTTTGGTGGCTTTGCCAAATTTTCAAAAAATAGAAATATTTTGCAGTCGATTTCCCATATTCTAGTTCAGATAGCTCGTAGCTGAAAGATGAATGAAAATATGATCCAACTTTTGCAGGTTCTGTTATGTTGATGGAAACTGAAATATGCGAAAATGTATGCAAAATATCCCCTGTTTTGATGAAATCTGACAACAGCATGTCAAAATACAGGTAGCTGCGAGCATCAGCCTATCAAAATATAGCTTGACTACCTTTCCAAGATAAGTCTTTTCATCTTATTGTACTCATTTCTCCATTTTCACTACACCTCTTTGCAATGTTATGCATTATATCTGAGATGTAACAATATTTTTAAATTGCATTTACTCGATAATAATACAACTGATCGTCACGGAACAAGAGTACCTTTTTTCTGTAAAGAGGTAATCCGGGATTGAATTGTCGAAAAATATGCACACGAAAAATTTGGAGCAATACACAGTAAAAAAACGCTTCGAGTTAAATTCGCAGAGTATGTTTTTAGATCAGAGATATTCTGGCAAACTCACTCTGATACTGCAATCAAATCTGTTACCACAATTCTCGCAGATCATCTCTCGGATCATCTCAATTGAAACTTATTCTAGATTGAATTTTCACTAATGCCGTATTGAATTCACTCTATATTCCTGAAATTTCAATAAAATAGCAATTCAGATAACTCATTTCACAAACAATTGAAATTGAATTCATTCTAGTGTTAACTGACACTAGTAAACTTGAATGTTCCACTCTTGTCGATCAAATTGACACTCTATAATTGTTCAATTCAATCTGTATACGATGAAATATCAATCTATAGTTTCAGATCGTTTAGTCTTCTGAATAGTGAAATAAGTAATACTGATTATAGTGTCGATGACATAATGATCATGATATTAGCTTCAAGTAGCTTTTTTACTATACCCTCGTAGTGAGAGATTTTCAACATTGAGTTATTAACGTATTTCTCCCAGTTATTTTACGTTTTTTCTGTTTCGAATTTTTATTTTGAACGATTCATGAAACTGATAGGTTACCTAATCAGTCTAGTGGGACGCGAGTCATTTTTCAAAGTCACACTACTTCTTATCCGGCAATTCGCGCCACTGCATGCAGGTGGCGCTGCGGTGACTGGCGACATTTCGCCGCTGAACGTCTGTCGAAGTCCTATAAATACTGTGACATGTGAAAGAATGATTGATTTAACTCGAATGAAATCTCAACAGTAAGTAGTAACTAGTTCACTCAACTAGTGTTTTATATCAATCTAAAATGATGAATAAATGATAACTTCTTGTTAGCACCTAAACACATAGTAGTGTCAATTTGAAAAATGGAGGAGCCATTTGACATCCACGTAGAGTAATTAATTCAATCAATTTCTGGTGGATCCGACATTGTTTAGACTGAAATCTACTCTGTACTATTATATTCCCAACTCTCAACCTTTGTGTAATATTCGGTTATTGTATTTCACTCTAAAGTGATGATATTGACACTAGCTTGGGTCTTGAGTGGAATGTTCACTTTCGGAATTGTATCTTTCAAATCTATTTTTGTGTTTATTCAATATATTTCGAGAAATAAAAAGAGTAAGTTTAAATGTGCTTGCATTGAAAATTTACACTGATTGAATTGAAAAAAATCACACTATAATATACTAAACTATAGAGTTAAATAATTCACTCTAAAGCTTAGTGGTCCTCCTGGGAATAGGTATAGTGTTAAATTTCACTCTATTTTTTTTATTGTGTATTTAATTTAGTACCACCATGTTTTATACACTCCTGATTGAAATTCTTGAACGATTTTATCCCCACTGCATTGGGCATGGAAAGTTTAGTTCTTGTACCAAATTGCATTTTTTCATCACATGTTGTTTTGGAAATCTCAAGAAATATCATTTCCAGGGGGCCGTAGCTCTCTTAGGAAATATTTCTCGACTCATGTTCTTTTGAATTTTTTCTTCTATTTTTGATTGTAAAAGCCGCTGGTGGAGTTTGGCAGGCTAATTTCGGGACACCCTGTATATCGAAGTCTGGCAAGATAATACACTACTCTGTTCAACCACTGACCAAACTGCTTTTTTATACGCCTTGACAGATGTTTTGCTAACTATGTTAGCATCTTCAGGAGAAGATGAAAACTCATAATTGAGATATGCACGTCATGAATCCTACTCAGTGTTTCAGAAATTTGAGTTGTTTATCAGAATTCTGTTTGTACATCAGGGTTCTCACTTGTATGTCAGGTTATATCAAGTTCAGGGTATTGAAATACTAGTTTTTTTTTGTTTCCCAATCTTCAACTGGGGCTCGAACCCATGCTTTGGTGGAAGCTCTCTCATAATCAAAATTCCGAGATCAAAATAATGACTCCGTTTCTCACAAATCTGACATGTTTTGTCAAAATATGATCGTATTGAATGATTCTGATTCGTGTTATCGAACTGAGAATTCTAACTTTGTGATAGAATTCTGGATTCCAGGTAAGAAACCTGACTTGCATGCAGAGTTTTGACATACAATTCAGAATTCGAATACACTAGCCAGAACTCTGAGATTATATTAGGATATTGACTTCGAATCCGTACATCTGAGAATATTATGAAAGAAGAATTCAGACGTGTATGTCGGGGTTATCAACTACCATTAATCATTCTGACATACTATCAGGACACTGACTGGTATGTTTTGTCATAATTGACTTGTACTGAAAAGTTATGACATGTGTGCCAAGCTCAGAATTTCGACTGCAGTAATAGAATTTTGAATTCTATGTCAGAATTCTGGCTTCTATGAAGAATTCTGATGAAAAACTCGAAATTTCGACAAAATCTTACATTCTAGCCAGAACTCTGACATATTTGAATGATGACTTCGCATCCAGAATGCTCAGTTGCCAGAATATGATGACAGATGAATTCTGACGTATATGTCAGGGGTTAGAAATACAAGTCAGGACTCTGACATACAGTCAGGACATAAACTGAATTGCTTGGTCATAATCGAGGTAGTAATTGATTTGTATCGAAAAATTTTGACTTCTGTGTCAGAACTTTGACAAAGAAATCGAAATTCTAACTTTGTATGAGAATTTCGAACTGTTATGTCAGAATCTTCACTCGTATGAAGAGATCTGACATACAACTCAAGATTCTGACAAAGAATTCAATCTGAAATTATGATATGTCAGAATATAATGACTCTCGTATGACTTGTATGACATAATCCTGATGTGCATGTCAAAATTCTGACATAATTCTGACATAGGTATAGCTCAGAATTCTGATACTAAATCACAAAATTCTGAGCCCCGCGTTTCAGTGTCCTGACTGTTCCAGCATAGGAGTTTGGAACAGGAATGTCAGTCCTTTCATTGGACCTTTCTTGGACCATCGATTCGCGCTAAAATGTGAAGTTCGACTATTCATAACGCTGTCATAATGTATGCATGCACAACAATCCCTCTATTTACACATACATTGCAACAACGAATGTGTCTTTTTTTTTCCCAAGACCTCGACTCTCGACTTACCGATGAAGATTAGCACCGACAGTGCAGCGTGGAGAACGTTCATCTTAGCTTGTCCCTCAAGAAATAAACCACCGGAAAATAAAGGCACTATATGTCACACGCAGGAGCTAGAATCACTTCCGCATATCCGTTCCGGAGCCCGAAAATTCTCCTCTAAAGTGACAGCAAGAACGCGGCACCGAGTTGTAGGGACTGACACCGACCGCGGTTTGAAAGTTCCTCCGAGGTCTTCGGTGAACGGTGAGAGGAAGGATAGAAAAGTAGCTCCCCCACGCTGCTTTGGCTACCGCATTTTTTCCGCAGCGCTATGCATGGTTACCAGTCTCTCTCAAGGAGATTTCAATATGGCAATCTCAAAATGAAATATTCAGTATATTCAAAATTTTTATTTTTATAAGACAGAAGGGAATCATTAATCATACAATCCTTCGTCATCTGACTGCCTTGAGTGAAAAAGCCATAAGAGATCTGTAGAAGGAAATTTCCATCGTTCAAGTTTGGATCTCTTGGTATTGGGAATAAAAGTTTTGAGAAGGTATATTCTCAGATATCTACACAGAAAAAAAAATCATTTGAATTAACAGAATATTTTGTCCCATCATATCTAAGTACGACAAAAAGTTTCGTCACAATGACAAAATATTGAGTATAAATAATGCAAAGAAACGAATAATTCGTTCAAGTAACAAAATGTTTTTTAGTAAGTAGAATGAAAAATTTTGTAACAGTTACAAAATATTTTGTCGTTGATGTAGCACATAATATTTCGTTGATTCAATAATTTTTTTTCCCTGTAGTACCCACTTATTAGGTATACCGGGTGTCCCAGTATACCTGTTCCAATGGATAATGTGAGTCATTTCGAGTGATGAAAATTTGAAAAGTTCATGATCTCCAGAAAAAATTGAATATCAGTTATAACTGATTTCAATTTCAAATTTTAATTGTCATATTCTCCGTCAAATCAAATGTGAAATACAAAGTGTGATACATCATTGTATAAACAGCTAAACTGGACTAACACTCAGAAAAACCCGAAAACGTAAATGAACAAGTATATTGAAAAACAAAAGAGGTACTACAGTTTATCACCCACTAAACGCGTTGAGCATACTGACTCGCCTCCTATCATCCCAAATTCTATACCAGCTCATTCGCTCCAGCCGTTATTCCTTACATAACCCATAGTGAATCAACACCCAACGAACATGGAATACAGGGTCGTTCCTTCGGATCGCTTATAGTCGGCCTAACCTGACACCTTCACGACCTCGGGAAGATGGAGCTTAAGGTCTTGGGAGTGCCGCTCTCAACCCTGCAAAATACAATAATTGAACATTAGAATAAGGTACGGTTTTTAGGCTTCGTCGTTAGACGTGTCTGATGAGTCCGTACTGACTACCGTCGTAAACGGTTTCAGTTTATCAGAGGGACATATCCCCTTATACGCTAGACGCGAACGTTTCGTGTCAGGTACATCTTCGATCACGTATCGATCATTGTCCAGGACAGTCGTTATGACGAAAGGACCGTGATATCGTGGCTCGAGCTTTTTACTTTGTCCTTCGTTCGAGCACTTTGCTAGCCTCAATAGAACGTGTTGGCCAACACGGTAATTTTGTGGATTGGTTCGTTTGGCATGGTAAAGCCGTTTTTGTTGCTGTTGCTTTTCTATAATCTGGTCGGCTACATCAGCCCTTATTTTAACCAAATCCACTGGCACGTCTTCACATACCGCATTACTAAGGAACGCGTCTGATACACTTCTGGGCCGGTAGCCGAGCAATATCTCGTATGGCGATCTTCCGGTAGTGGAGCTTATGGTGGTGTTGATGCCCCATCTGACACGACTTACCGCCTCGTCCCATCGTTCCTCGATTTCAGTAGATGCTGTTATTGCGGAAAGGATTACGCGATTCATCCTCTCTACTTGGCCGTTCGCTCGGGGAGTTGCAGTTGCGCACAACGTATGCTTTATACCTAAACTGGAACAGAAAGCAGAAAACGTCTTACTGGTGAAAGCAGTTCCCCTGTCACTAATTATCCTTCCCGGAACCCCAAATGTCTCTATAATCTCTTCCAGAAACCGTATGACCGGTTCAGTTTTGGTACTCGGGACCGCCTTCATAAAAGTAAACTTGGTGAACCCATCCACCCCGATTATCAAGTAGGAGTTTTTCTTGACACTCTTGACAAATGGCCCCAAATGATCTAAATGAAGAGTGTCCATCGGAATATTCTTTTTATCTATGCAATGGAGCTAACCCGGTTGTTTTCCCGAAGGCTGCTTATTGTAAAGACATCCCAGACACGCAGATATATAATTTTTAACGTAGTGTCGCATTGATGGGAACCAGTATCTGCTGCTCAAAACTTCCAAAGTTTTGTCTAGTGCGAAATGGCCGTTACCATCGTGGTAGTACATAAGCAGTCTCCTACGAGAAGACTTAGGAACTACCCACTTAGTCCTCTTATTCGTCTTTCGATATAATCGATTACCTTTCAGGACATACTCGTCGTGGATAGTTCGTTCATTTGGATCGAGTGGTGCTCGCATTAAAACTTCATGTAGATATTTGCATCGTTTATCTTCCAACTGAGCAGAAAGCAGCCAGTCGCCTTCGTCGATGTTAACTGGCATTACGACCTGAATATCGTCGTAACCTTCACTACATTCGACCGGACTCCTGCTGAGTGCGTCTACATGACACATTCTTGGTCCCGGTCTATATTCGATGGTGAAGTCGAACTCCTGAATAGTTAACCACCACCTTGCTATTCGCGGTATCAGGTCTCGTTTTGTCAGGGTAGATTTCAGAGCATTACAGTCTGTCACTACCTTGAATTGTTTTCCAATTAGATATATCCGGAACTTCTGCAAACTGTTGACGACTGCCAGGGTCTCTAACTCGTACGAATGGTATTTCTGTTCTTCTATTGTAGTCGATCTACTGAAGTATTGTACTGGTTTCAAATTCGTATCCGATTGTTTTTGAAATAGAATTCCTCCAACTCCAAATTTACTGGCGTCTGTGTGGACCTCAGTGTCTGCGAGATTGTTGTATATCGCCAGCACAGGGCGAGTCACCAACCTATCTTTCAGATCTTGAAATGCTTGCTGTTCAAGGCAACCCCAGCTAAAGTTTGTATTTTTTCTTGTCAAGTTTGAAATAGGTTTTGCTCTCTGGGCAAAACCCTTGATAAATTTTCGAAAATAACTCGTGAGGCCCAAGAACCTTCTCACCTCGTGAACGTTGGTAGGTGGTGGAAACTCAGAAACTGCGGATATTTTCTCGGCGCCGGGTCTAATACCATCTTGGTCAATTTCGTTACCTAAATAGCTGATTTTTGTTTGAAAGAAGTGGCATTTGTCTAAACGTAGCGTCATTCCATTTTCACGAAACAGTATCAAAATCTCCTCCAACCGCTCACTGCCACTCTGAACAGTTACAGATGGTACTAGAATATCGTCCAGGTAGGCCATGGCAGAGGTGAAACTCAGAGATCCTAAGATCTTGTTCCTGGTTCTTTGGAATACAGCTGGTGCATTCACTAGTCCAAAAGGCATTCTCAGGTACTCATAGTGCCTGTCCGGTGTCACAAAGGCCGTTTTGGAAATAGAGTTTTCATCCGAGGTAAGGGATACTTGTCTTTGATAGTTTTGGCATTCAGTGCTCTATAATCGATACACATTCTCTCTTCGCCGTTCTTTTTCTTCACTAGGACGATCGGGCTGGCATAAGGGGAACCTGATTCGCGGATAATCTGACAATCGAGCAGGTTGCTCAAAATATTTTTAACATTCTCGCGCTGCGAGTGAGAGAGACGATATGGTCGATAGGTGATGGGTTGACTGTCCGTTAACGAAATTGAAACCTGGGAGGTTTTGCAGTGCCCTAGTTCGTTTATGTTCATGCCAAAACAGTCGCGATATTTATTTAATAAAGTATGCAACTTGTCTATCTCTTCTCGAGTGTCGTTTGACTGCCGTTCTACCTCTGAACGGGTGAACGGATTCAACTTTTCTGTTCGGATTGGGAGACAGTTTTCGGTTGCTAGATCTGTCTCTGGGAAACATACATCGCCCCGAGCGACAACCCTGTCTTTCGGATATACGACAGGGAAATTAGAAGAATTCAGGAAAGGAATAACGGCATCAGCTTTTGTCTCGATTAAACACCTGGGGATAATGTGGAAGCCTCCTGGCCATGGTCAATGTTGTAAATCGACGAATATGTTGTGTGTCTGTTCTTTACTATAGACTGCAATGTGACCTATGTGATGTGGAGGGATAACCGTAGCCTCCTTAGCCCACATAGTTACTTTCTTTGGCGGTAAACTAGTAACTCCGGTCAAATCATTGTGGCTTTTGTTAATCAAACGAATTTGTTTGTCTCTAACCACCACAATAACATCTTTATGATTTATAAATGGCTGACCAACTACGACAGAAACCTGTTGTATTTCGTCAGGAACAATAAGTGCAGAAACGTTGGCCTCGGCTAAGTCAATCTTGAGGTTTATGTCAACCTTCGACCTGACAATAACTGAACCACCAGCAAACCCACACAATCGTACTTGCGTTGGGTACCCTAAGAGACCCAGTTCATTGAAGTCCGATTCCCGTATGGTAACAGCATTGCTACCTGAATCTACATACCCTCTCAATGCCTTCCCTTCAATAACACAATCAATAAAATAGCAATCGTTAGAATTATTAACGTCATTTCTCATGGTGGATATTGAAATTTTAGACTCACCCTCGGTAATCCGTCCTTTAACGTCTTTTCTATCTTTTGAGCAATTGTTGGCTTCATGCCCAAGCAGGTGACATCTGCTGCACTCTAAACGTGGTCTTGGGCACTTGGGAGCAATATGGCCTCTTTGATTGCAATTGAAGCATCTACGTATGGAAGTTTCGCTTTCGGTCCTTTTGTGCTGAATATTACGTCTCAGATCGTTTCTTCCTTTGGATCTATCCAGATATTCATTATTCACCGAGTTATTCACTGATACTTTGATATTCTTTGTATCAGCTTGTTGTGTGGATAAATATTCTTCGTACAAGGCCTCTGGAGTCTCGTACCGTCCGGCTCTGGCACCATTCTGTATGACCGCATCGACCAATCCATCTATTAGGCAAGACACACTTTTCTTGCCGGTTATTCCGCACGTTCGTATCAATTCCATTTTTTCGAAGTAATACGTGGTCATAGTTTCGT